TTGTCTCGCTTTGTTGAGCTTGTTAATCATTTTCTATAGATATATGTAGCAGTCTCATTTCCGGAGATAACAATTCTTTGACCTTGCCATTGATCAAAAGGTTCTAAATAGAAAATCCCCTATTCAAGTATTTAACTGATTACATTTTCGGGCTATAGTCACATCCCTAAATCTCTTGTTGTATTATATTTTTGTAAGAACATACACACGATCCGATATTTTGGATGTGACGAAATGTAAAAACCGAGAAAAAGAGAGTTGGAAAATATCGTGACCAAAACTAAAACTAGCGTGCCCGCAAAATCTTAAGACAAAACCGGTAAAAGCGGATCAAGGAGGAATGATAATCTCGACCGAACGATTCACACGGATGGTTACAGAATCTGCCGTACACGTGGCATAACTCCGGAGACATTTAAGCTTACACGTAACTGGCATGTCAAACCGGGTTCGACGCCACAAGTGTGGGACCTACCGCACGAACGAGACGTCTGTGCAACGTTGTCAAAGATCTTTGTCTTAATTTTTTTTTTTAATTATTAGTATGTGCAATACTGTGCATGTTGACCAAAAGAGAAGAATTAGTATTGCATTTGTGTAAATCCACATATTTAGCGTGTGAAAACAAAAACTGAAAATAATAAGATGTCACAAAATGGATCGGGATAACACCAACCGAATCACCTATGTTTAATTAATTTATATGGTTGGTGAATTTCATGTTATTGACAAAGACTCAAAATGTTCTGTTTTATTTTTCTTAGTATAAAATATGATAATGGTCTTGGATCTTGAGCAAGTGCTTTTTCTCATGAAACACTTTGGTTAATTAAATAGTGTTATTAACTTTGTCATTAAACAGCGTTTGCTGGGTTCGCCTACCTATGTGTCTAATTCAATTGTTTTAGTTTACAATGTCTAAATTAAGTATTTGCAACCGTCTGACCTAAACCAGTCAATGAGTCATTAATCATCGTTTTAATGTGTGTGAAACATGTAACTAGTTCTAAAGAAACTTCTCACATTTGAGATCTGTCTAACTAACTTTTCAGAGTATGTAAAAGGTTTTAGTTTGTTTGTTAAAAGGTAAAATTTACTGATCAATAAAAATATCTACATTGGGCTTTTTTTCCTTTTTTATAAATTTCTTCAAAAATGAAAACGTAAGAGATTATACTAGTGTCACAGGTAGAATTCTACACCTCAGCCAATTTGTTACAATATCACTATAAGTATTGGATGACTATGTGAAAGCTGAATTTTGTACTAAAAATTTATATCTAAATTCGGGAAAAAAATGTGATGAAATATCTATAAATTTGATATGAATCGAAATAAGTATGACGAAGTGGACTTATATTGATAATGAATTGAACATACAAAAGGATCTCGAGTGAGATGAGATAACTGAAACTATCGCATCTAAGATCAATTTACTCCGGAGATGGCATATTTCTTGGGATTATTCCAATATTTCTCGTATCTAGAGTGCCTATCGTCGATACGCTCCACATGAGTAGGATCAAATTGAGCTCATCGTCAACCCTATTGAGCTTCTAATCGTTCTATTTAGAATGTCCCTCTCAGAAGAGTTCTACGAGCAGCTCCGCTTGTCCTTACCAAGTTCTACCGGCTAGGAGAAGAGGTCGTTCAGCTCGTCTTTCAACTAGAGTCCCCGTCTCCTCTACTGAAAGTCAGCCCACTTTCATAGTTCTCGAAAAGATGTTGTTTAGCTGGTTATATCTTTTGACGATATACTTTTTGTGTGGCAGGTACAAACCCTTTGATTGTTTCCGGCGCCAGCTCATCTTCCAATACTAAATTGCAAGGAATGTCTCAAAGAACAACATTCTGCCGCCTTGACAACCGTTCAGCTAGATTCGGGGAGAGGGCCCGGTTAGGAGACATGGCCACGATGGTTCAATCTGTGCTGGGAGCCGTTGGCGTCCATTTTCCAGAGGGCACAACCCAAATTGTTGTGGTGAATCATGTTGCGGGTACCTCCTCTGGCTAATTCTTGGTCCAACTCGAGGGGCTCCTCTGGTCGAGTTCCTCATTCAAAGAATGCTAGGTCCATGTGTAACACCCCCGAACCATTCTAGACATAGGCCGGCCTGAAGATGCCACAATAGATGATTGAGAACGGTTAGGCCCGAATACTGGAACGGATCAAGGACCAAGGCCCTACCCTTCCCAACATCTTTACCACCAGAACCAAGCCTAAAAATTTGCAACCCATACCCGGTCATGATGTTGGGTTAGTTCGGACATGACTAATATTAGCACTTCTCACCAACGATCACCAAAACATTCTTATATTATATATGATATCCTTAACAAACATCATCACAAAATAATATAGTTGGGCAGGGCCTTGAGCCAAAACATCATACATACATTATATCAAGTCTAAATTTTACAAAATCCAAAAGTAAACTACACTGATTGTCACTGTCATGCACATCCCCTTCCCTTACCCCGACTAACGATTACCTACCAACCAAAATGAAATCATGAGTAATCTAAGAATACTAGTGAGTCCGACTATCTCAACAACACATTAGATTTCCCCAGCCCACAGAGTACAAGCAAATAGAGTACTTAGTCAAGCAATCAATCAAGCAAACAGAGTACACGTAAACAGTGGAAGCAATCAGTCAATCTAGCAAGGCTAATGCAACACACAACCTATATGCAATAAACATTAAGAAAATCAATGCATCAATTAATATGCAACTCTCTACGACCCAATCTTGGTGGTTCGTGGAGCCCTAAATGTATCGGTTGTTTCCCCGACTAACGGTTACTTGCAAAACAAAATGGAATCATGAATAATCTTATATTACCCCATGAGTCTGGCTATCTCAACATCACATGAGATTTCCCCTATCTAACCCCATGCAATCAATCAAGCAAACAGAGTACAAACAAACAACGGAAGCAATTAGTCAACCAAGCAAAGCTAATGCAACACACAACCTATATGCAATAAACATAAAGCAAATCAATGCAACAATGAATATGCAACTTTCCACGCCTCAATCTTGGCAGTTACTAGAGCCCTAAATGTATTGGTTGTTTCTCCCTCTCTTTTCTTCTATGTGATCCCCTTGCCCTTGGTAGTCACAAAGAAACGCCCAAGTTAGTGCAACTACCAAACCCATCGTTACGGATGCGCGTTCGGGTCACACCGTCATGTGACACCATAGCCATGGGTGCTACCTAAGTACTCTCTCCGGGCCTTCACACTCTCACAAATTTAGGGTGTTTCTTATCCGCGATCATGAGGAACTCAGCTCTTCTATGGGGAAACACCGCATACACACCTACATGCCTTAGAAAATTACGGGTTACGTAATTTCTGCATGTTTCCTAATGGAATCAGCTAGTCACCGGAGGTTCTAAGGAATACGGTGGCTACATCCATTCACTCACACACAACACACAAAGGTTGACTAGCACATGCAAGGCAATTCTGACACAAGACATGTCTAAGTACAACATAACAACTTCGCATGAATTTTACTTAGTAAAATCATGGAAATGCTCTTCTCCGAACCTTACTCAGTTCCAATCTAAACATGCAAGATGGTCACTCCTTGACACATCCACACTACATGTTAGATATCTCCTTCATCAACTCATTTGATCGTGCTCAACATCTGAAGATGATCATGCATGCTAATCTTTCCTGCATGCAAACATTCTAATCTCTACCCATAAAATGGATAAAAACATGCAGGTGATCTACTCGTCACCACCCGCGTCAGTACTTACTAGTTTTGGCTTGAAGACACTAGATCCAAATTCCGGCTCGCTCAGATCCTAGACACAGAAAGTTTTGGTTAAGACTAGAAACTTAAACGAAAAGACCTCACACAACGTCTTAGTAAGTAACCTAACGGATCTTTGAAAGAAACTTAGATCTTACCGACCAAGAACACCCTTGAACACTCTAGCCTTCACACACTCACGGACAGAACCTAGTTCTAACTCTCGGAGTTTGAAGAGATTTTGGTAAAACCTATGGGTTAGGAATTTTCTATAAGAAAAACCTATGGGTAAGAGCATTTCGATTGGGGGGTCTCTAATGAGAGATCCTC